GAATAAGAACTGTTCTCGCCTACCCAGATTACCATAAACTCTACCGCATCTCAGGACATGTCCTCCCAAACACTATTGAACACTCCCTACCATTTCGAGGTTGGACTTGAACCTTATTCTGAAGTTTCCAATGAATTACACTACTTTCAATTCATTTTAACTCGGAGAATTTCAGCAAAATTACCAAAACTCACTCTATTACTGCGTGATAATGACTGATCGCTGAGATCTTGCGAAGTAGAGGGACGCATTTTCTCCTCGTCAAGGATATCCCGATCCTTAAAGCGAAACTTTGTTTTGGAATTTCAAGGTCAAGACAATATTTCAGTAAGAATTTATCTCGAAGAACTCACCTTTGGACGGATGTACCAGTGAAAGCGTCTCGGTTTATAAGTAGGCGGTATTGGATCACACTTTTCCATCAGATGAGATCGCTTTGGAAACGATGGAAATTCTGGAAAATCCAATTAGGCCTCATCTGTTTTTGTGAAAAATTTCCAAATAGAATTCTACGAAATTCGCATAGGCTTGAATGGGAACGAGGATTGAATGGAAATGAAATGTTAACGGATTCGCCCTAGGGCGTTGATGAGTTGACTCAAAGAAACTGAATTAAAGGGCAGTTGAACGAATGGAAATCGTCGAAGGGACGGCAGTTTCCGTCGGACTAATGCATTGTCAGCGCAGAGAAGTTTTATAAGCGTTTCCGGGGAAAGATAAACGACAACATGGCTGAATCAGATTCATCCCTCACAGAAAACATTTTGCCTCTTCTTCGAACGGATCACAAAACATTTCATGGTGAAAGGAATGCGGAATTTAATTATATGCGGTGAGGTTAACCAGAACGAACAGCACGTCAACCATTACTGCAGGCAGAATTTTAAAGTGGAACTTTTGCTCAGGAAACACAACAGGACGGATGTGGTGGTCCCTATCAATCATGTTCTTCTGGCATGACGCCATCACACAGGACTTTGCCGAGAATTGCTACGGTTTTTGATTCGTGGTTTAATCTTCACATCGAGGAGGGTGGCAACAGGAACAAAATAAATTAAAAATGTTTAAAAGTGAATGAATTGGAATAAAGGAATTATAAGAAATTAGACATAAAAATGAAAAAAGTAAAAAATAAAATAAATGGATAGAATTCTAGATGAAATGCGAAGCTTGAAGCTTTCGGTGCAAATCGACCCCGTCTTTGGGATGCGCCCCGTATCTGACTTCTTTTCAGAATCGAGTGTCGTGTAGAATGCATATGCGACCTATGCAACGACTTCCGGCTCGGCGTGGGCGAATATCGATGCGGGATTCGAACCCGTGACCACTTCCGCCCCTCATAATATTGATGACACACTTTCTTCTACTTCGTCTCCATAGCATTAGTTCTGGAGATTAGTGTGAATTGGCACACTACCTCTCGCGTGGTCTACAGATCGAGTCCCGGATGCTACCCGACTAGGACAACCGAGTCTTGGATCCCTCCAGAATCAGTTCATTGACAAGATACGGCAAAGCTGTGCTCATGGCCGGTGGATCTGATTCTTGAAAAGATGGTCGTCTGAACCGACGAGAAATCTGTCGTGCCAGCATCGAACAAGTCTCTGGCGGCTCAGTGATCACTGTCNTTGGATCCCTCCAGAATCAGTTCATTGACAAGATACGGCAAAGCTGTGCTCATGGCCGGTGGATCTGATTCTTGAAAAGGTGGTCGTTCGAACCGACGAGAAATTCAGTCGTGCCAGCATCGAACAAGTCTCTGGCGGCTCAGTGATCACTGTCACTGTCTTCGTCGATCTCAAAAGTAACTTTATAGGCCAAAAGTACAATAAAAAGATTTTGTGGTTCTCCATTATGGGCGTATTTGGGCGCATTTCAACAGGAGGTTGATCAACTGGGAACCGACTGATCCGTTAACATTACCAGTTCGGCTGCTTCAAAGGAACAAAAGGAATGTGGGAGAAAAATGACAGAGAGAGCATGCACTAGAACATGTAGTGTACCGGACAACACTGTTCAAAACCGCTTTCCTCAATACATATGTAGCAGGACGTGAGTAGTTGCATATGGGAGCAAATTGAAGATACAATGTTGGTATAAGTGGTCCATCAAAGACGAAAAACAAAAACAGGAGGGTAAGGATGTGAGAGGGGAAGAGGGGTGAGTCATTCGATCTTCGATGACGATTCGAGGGAGAATACGAAACGAGGGTAGGAAGTCGGATTCTTGAATGAGATCATGTTTTATTATACTCTATCATGATAGATATCATACATTACTCGGTGCTCATATTGGCTACGGTAGCAATCTTGATATGTTTCATGGTATGCTACCGCATAAACTCTAAGCTACGTCAGAACATCCGCTTTTAAGCGACGTTGCCTGGGACCGAGCTGCAAGGTCTCTTGCGGAATTTGGCCACAGTCTAATGTGTCTTTAAGGAGTACTCTCAAGTCATAGTAACTAGAAAACCAAGGAAAGACATGCAGCATGTAAGCGATTCGCTGAAAAACGGAAGTATTGGTACAGTATCCCACGGACATACTAAATTACACGAACAGTAAACGAGATTTAACAGTGTAAACGTTGAAAAGCTGAAGGATGTAGTGGACAAGAGAAGGAGGACAATAGACGGAACGCAACTATTCTGCCGTACTAATCAGACTTACGACCTCCTCCACCTACAAATGTCTTTTCGGAACGTTTTTTGCAGAGGTTTTTTTTTTGCAGAAAAGCAATTAAATGGAAAGATGGTGAGCCGGCACGGAATAGCCG